CATTTAGATTAGATTGCTGCCATATCTTGGCTATTGTGAATAAGGCTGAAATATAAAATACTTAGGAATAAATCTACCAAGGAAGTAAAATATCTGCACACTAAGAACTGTAAAACTTGGCCAGGCGTGGTGGCTCATGCCTGTAATCCCAGCACTTTGGGAGGCTGAGGGGGGTGGATCCCTTGAGGCCAGGAGCTTGAGACCAGCCGGGCCCACGTGGCAAAACTCCATCTCTACTAAAAATACAAAAACTTAGCCATGTGTGGTGGTGGGCGCCTGTAATCCCAGCTACTCAGGAGGGTGAGGCAGCAGAATCACTTGAACCTGGTAGGCGGATGTTGCAGTCAGCCGAGATCACACCACTGCACTCCAGCCTGGGCGACAGAGAGAGACTCCGTCTCAAAAAAAAAAAAAAAAAAATGCTGGATGCTGTGGCTCACACCTGTAATCCCAGCACATTAGGAGGCTGAGGCGGGCAGATCACCTGAAGTCAGGAGTTCAAGACCAGCCTGGCCTACATGGCAAAACCCCTTCTCTACTAAAAAAATAGAAAAATTAGCCAGGCGTGGTGGTGTGTGCCTGTAGTCCCAGCTACCTGGGACGCTGAGGCAGGAGACTCACTTGAAGCTGGGAGGCAGAGGTTGCAGTGAGCCGAGATCACACCACTGCACTCCAGCCTGGGCAACAGAGCAAGACTCCGTCTCAAAAAAAAAAAAGAAAAGGAAAAAAACAAAGAACTGTAAAACTTGGTTTAAAATTGGAGGAGAGTTTGCCTTCCTGCCCCATCTCCGTCACTCCCTGCAGCCTCCACCGAACACCATGACTCCTAGGAGGGCAGCAGTTGTGTGGCCAAGACCAACTCCTTAGGGAGGTGGAAGCTCGCCTCCTTTCTTAAAGACTTCGACCGTGAAGTGGAAATACGAATCAAGCCAATTGAGTCAGACAGGCAGAACCTCTTCAAGGAGGTGGATAAACTCTACAACATCCAGATCCTGCGGTTCCCCAAGGCATTGCGCAAAGATGAATGGCTCGACTACTTCTCCCTTGGAGGAAACAAACAGGGCTTGGAAGAGGCAGCAACAGCTGACCTGGATATCACTGAAATAAACAAACTTACCACGGAAGCTATTCAAATGCCCTGAAATCTGCTAAGACATGAAAGGTGATACAATGATAGATGTAATGATAGTGGAAGAGGAAGAAGAAGAAAATAAACATAAGAGTCTTCAAACTGCAAGAGTCAAAAGGTGTCCTCCATCCAAGAAGAGAACTCAGTCTGTACAAGAAAAAGGCAGAAGGGAAAGGTCAAACTGTGCTATCACTGTTACCACAGCTTTGGGCTGATTGAATGTGTCCATAGTAAAACCAACTCGAAGCCTGATACCCAGGTTTGACTCGAGGGTCTTCATGATCCCTGGCCTGTGCACTTCTGCCACAGGAGAGTGGATTTACAACAAAAGCTGCTCAGGTGCAGTGACTCACACCTGTAATCCCAGCACTTTGGGAGGCTGAGACAGGTGAATCACCTGAGGTCAAGAGTTTCAGACCAGCCTGACCAACATGGTGAAACCCCGTCTCTACTAAAAATACAAAAATTAGCTGGGCATGGTGGTGGGTGCCAGTAATCCCAGCTACTCAGAAGGGAGGCTGAGGCAGGAGAATCGCTTGAACCCGGGAAGCGGAGGTTGCAGTGAGCCAAGATCACGCCATTGAACTCCAGCCTGGGTGACAGAGTAAGACTCCGCCTCAAAAAACAAAAAACTTCAAAAACACCAGCAACAAAACCAAAAGAAACAATAGCTGGAAGATACAACCTGGAGATTGGAAAAAATATTTTCAACTTATACATCTGATAAGCGGCTAATGTCCCAAATATATAATATTGTTGCTATTACTCTAACAAATCAATAGCAAGAAAATAAATAACACAAGGGAAAATGGGCAAAGGATCTGAACAGGCTCTTCTCAAAAGAAGAAATACAAATGGCCAAAAGAAACATGAAAAAAAATAGCATCTCTAATCATCAGGAAAACGCGAATTAAACACGTGATGAAGTATCACCTCATGCCTGTTAGAATGACTATCATCAAAAAGACAAAACCATCACCAGTGCTGGCAAGCATATGGAGAAGAGAGAATTCTTTTTTTTAAAAATTTTTATTCTAGGTTCAGGGGTATGTGTGCGAATTTGTTGTGTAGGTAAATTGCATGTCATGGGGGTTTGGTGTACAGATTATTTCATCACACAGATAGTAAGCATAGTACTGGCCGGACACAGTGGCTCGAGTCTGTAATTCCAGCACTTTGGCAGGCTGAGGCGAGTGGATCACCTGAGGTCAGGACTTCAAGACTAGCCCGACCAACATGGCGAAACCCCATCTCTACTAAAAAATAACAAAAATGTGCCGGCTTTGGTGGCGCGCTCCTGTAATCTCAGCTAGTTGAGAGGCTGAAGCAGGAAATCACTTGAACCCAGGAGGCGGAGGTTGCAGTGAGTCGAGATCGCGCCATTGCGCTCCAGCCTCGGCAGCAGAGCAAGACTCCATTTCAAAAAAAAAAAAAAAAAGTACTCGCTTTTTTCAGCAGCGCATATACTAAAAAAAAAAAAAAAAAAAAAAAAAAAAACAAAGAAAGAAAAAAAGAAAAAAGAAAAAAAGTAACCATAGTAGCTTTTCTGTCCTCGCTCTCCTCCCATCCTCCACCCTCAAGGAGGCCCCAGCGTCTGTTGTTCCCTCTTTGTGTCCATGTGTTCTCAATATTTATCTCCTACTTACAAATGAGAGTGTGTGGTATTTGGTTTTCTGTTCCTGCCTTACATCACTTAGGATAATGGCTTCAGCTCCATTCATGTTTCTGCAAAGGACCCAATCTTGTTCTTTTTTTTTAAGGCTGTGCAGTATTCCATAGTGTATATGTACATTTTTTTCTATCCAGTCTACCACTGATGGGCATTTAGATTGATTCTGTGTCTTTGTTATTGTGAATAGTGATGCGATGAACATACACGTGCCTGGGTCTTTATGATAGAACAATATATATTCCTTTGGGTATAAACCTGGTAATGGGATTGCTGGGTCAAATGGTAGTTCTGTTTTAACTTCTTTAAGAAATTGTCAGGCCGGGCGCGGTGG